TAATACAATAACTTGAAGAAAAAAAAAAGTAATAAAATTCAAATAGTATAATTGTTGTAGATCTTGAGAGTCTTCTTATGATAAAAAAAATCCTTTAAATATCCATTATGCAATTTTTATTTGAGTCACATATCTGGAAAATAAAAATTCAGAGCAGTATCAAAAAAGAATACATAATATGAAAATAATTGTAATGATAAAATACTTAAAGTAGGAAAATGGTAAAATAATTTAGAATAAAAATTAGAAAAAGTATTGAAAAGGGAAAAAAATTGTAACTGTTGGAAAAAAAATTATCAATTATTATCAGTAGGTATTTCATTATCAAAATAACGTTTGATATCGAAATTGGCAAACTCAGAAGTATCGTAGAAACTTTGAGCTTTTAAAAGTTTAACAATAGTATTATGAAATTGACGATCATTCAGTTTCCTAATATGTAGTGGGAGTAGATTAAATAGCTGTACTCCTCTTCCGTCTATGGTATTAAAAGATGTTTCCAGTTTAAAAGTTGGTCCTTTTATAGTTAAATTTCTTGTTTTATAATAGGAATTCAACATGGAGGATAAGTTGAAGCGTTCAGGATTATTCTTTATGAATGACAACATAATTAGCAAAAATATACAGGGAACAGTGAGAATGTTAAATTGTCGGAAAAGATTCCTACATGAGGACAAGGAACTGAGAGAAAAAATGATTCTTAATAATATATAATATGATATTTTACGTGAATATTATTTAAATATGATTAAATTGTAGTGAGTAGTTTTGTTTGTAGTTTTATTTATATACAAAAACGTTAGCCGCAAGTGTTACTAGAGACTCAAAATATAAACTTTTTTGATATGTTAATATGAAAATGCACTTTTTGGCATATTTTTCTCAAACACGGTGCTCTGAAAGATCTCATTTGTATAATTATATACACATTAGTATTTATAAAACATTTCTATGTTATATTATTTTTTATTTATGTTATTTAAATTCAGAACCTAAATTTGGAATCGATCAAATGGACATTTTGTCGAATAACATTTTTCCAGTTATAATTTCCCAGAATTTATTGAAGAATTGATAGTAATATATGAAGGTCCAGGGTTAAAAAAGGTCCACCACTTATGTGTCAAAAATCAGTAAAGTTAAACATGGTTTAACAACAATATTTGAAAGTAGAGGAAAAAAATGTATAACCAGCTATAACCTTGATTTGAAAACGGTAATCTTTGAAATGGGGGAGATAAACAGTAATCTTTGAAAATCCATAATAAAAGTATTTTCTTCCGTTGGTAGTTTTATAGCATTAGTTAAAAATGTAATTATTTTGTAAAATACCTTTAAAATTACAATAAGGCTTTAAACCTTTTTGCCACTTGCCCGTTTTAAGTTACCCCGCCTATAGGATAAAAAGATCTAAATAACAAATTTTTGAAAGACATCAAAAAAGCACATTTCTACAATGAAGAAGTAGAAGGCAGTTTACTGAACGTAGTCAGATAATTGTTCGTTTGATATGTGTTATTTGTTGTGATACAACTGTTATGGTTATCACAATAGTTTATATTTGCTCAAAGTCAAATTGGACCTTTGTGCCTCGTCCTGCTCTACATATATACTTTTTAGTAAATTTACTTTAATTCATTGAATGTTACTTGAAACTTTTCAAAAAGCATGTCAAAGAAGAAATACTTAATTCATTTTCTATTTGAAAATTTTGTATAAGCTCAGTAGTATTATTTACAATATAATACACAAAATCCAGGATCCTCAAAGAATCTGAAAAACTTGAAACGTTAATCAATAAGTCGAAAGACCAAAAAAGACTTGGATTGGATTATACCATGTTTTCTATAGAAAGTGTATAAAACTTCCAGTTTAATTGAATTGACAAAATAAAGACAAACTAGTGGGGTTTATTGTTTTTATAATACCCCATTGTATATAGCATTCAAACAACACATCCTTATACACTTAAAGTACTAATATTTTTGATTCTCTAGAAATTGCTTAAAATATACCTTACATAGCAAAACAATATTTGCCGGGTCAGCTAGTTATATATAAATTATCTCGTATTAAAAAGTTGTGCAATTAAATGAAAATGACAATCAAGTGCCAAGATAAGCCGTTTGTCACATACCTCCTCTTGCAGATGATGAATTTGCTTCGAATATACAAACAATGTGTCAAATGTTGAAGAAAAGTACTCAAAACAGTTCGCCTGTGATGGAACAGTTAAAATCGGATTGTTAATTGAATACAAACACGTCGTAGCACAACGACGTAATCAAAAATCAACAGATTCAACCGCCATTGTAAAACACTTTGTGCAAAAACACTAACGCGGAAGAAAACTAATAAATCCGTGCACAAAACTAATCGTTCGCGTGTCTCATCACTCTTGCACACTTTTATAATTATTTATTTTAACAAAATTAAAATAAAATGCGTGCACATTCGATTAAATCCCATGCTTTCTATTCCATGTTTGACAGATAAAAGAAAAAAGAAAGAGTGTTGCCAACGTCGACTCTGCGCGCCAAAGCGTCGCTGCGGACAGAAATTGCACTAGACGGCGGCGCCAAATTCGAATTCGACCAACATAAATAATGTAATTTTAGTAGATGCTGCTTCTGTTTCGTGGAAAACATGCTGAAAAGAGATTTTTTTAGACATATTTAGTATATATGTATTATATATGGTAGATTTTTAATAAGAATAAACGGCTGCGCCAAATTCGAATTCGACCAACATAAATAATGTAATTTTATTAGATGCTGCTTTTATTTTGTAGAAAACATGCTGGAAAGGTTTTTTTTGAAGATTTTTAGTAGAATATGTATTATATATATTGTAGATTGTAGAAAAACTCCCGCTGATAGGGTTACTGATTCTGTTTACAGGTTGGACTGCAATGATTGCAATAGTTGTTACATTGATGAAAGTTCCCAATATATATACAAGATGGTTAATAAACATATATATAACTCAAGAAACCCAAATCAATTCAAAACGATGCTTTCAGAATCATGATAAACTTGAACCACACTTTTAACATGTCAAATCCTTCCATCCTTTACATTGAAAAAAAATTGTGACCTTAGAAAGATAGTTGTGTCTTTACTTATATCCCTTAATACTTCTTGTGTAAACAAACGTAATTCCTCTCATCTCTTACATGATAGTTACAAAGTAATCATTAATTCCATGAAAAGTAATTCAATACAGTTTTAGAATCTTTCGTTCGTTATATTTCTTCTGTGTTCCCCTTTCATTTCTCGCAACTCTCTCCCACTCTTCCATTACATGTGCGTGTCTACACTGCGTTGTACTTTTAACCTTGAACTGTGCCCACAATGCAATGCTATCAATAACATTAAATATAGGAGGGCAATATGTGCTCCTTCTATTTCTTGTTTATTAATATAATAGTATTTTATTATTTTACACAAATTTAGTGTTCAATCAATTTTACATCATAATTAATTTTTTCTGTTGTTTTTCCTGGTTTGGTATGTATAATTACCTCCTTTTTATATATTTATATTTATCATTAACTTTGTATTTATTTTATATGTTTTTTAGATTACTGAATGATGACACACATCAAGTGTCGAAACGTTTAATGGAATAAATAATTTTGTTATTTAATCTTTTTTAATTCGACGCTTGGGCTGCAAAAATATTACAAATATGTATCAACGTATATATATACATATATATAATATATAAAATATATTATATATATATATATATATATATATATATATATATATATTGCAGATTTTATATATATGCTGATAACAATACAAATACAAATTTTAATAAGAATAAACTGCAGCGCCAAATTCGAATTCGACCAACATAAATAATGTAATTTTATTAGATGCTGCTTCTATTTTGTGGAAAACATGCTGGAAAGGCTTTTTTGGAAATTTTTAGTAGAATTTGTATTATTTATATTGTAGATTTTAGATATATGCAGAAGAATAGGTGATTGGACTTTTTGCAAATTTTTTAGTGAAATCTTCAACAAATTTGCTTTTTGCACTATTAATGAATGTATAATATATTTAAATAACGATTTCTCAAACACCTTCAAGTTTTGAAATAAAAAAAATTTTGAATTTAATTTAAATATAAATTTGTTAAATATAAATTTGTGGTTATAAATGTGAATAGATACAGAAATATTTTAAACAAATCTTAAGTATTTCTGTATCTATTCACATTTTTAGACTATTTAAAAAAAAATATTACAATGTAATGGCTTTAATTAAATTATTAAAATAAATACACACCGTTTTGAATGCAAAATTGTAGGTTTTCAAAACACTCTAAAATTGTTTTTTAGATCTAACATATATCCTTAAAATTCATATATTTCTCTTTTTTTAAATATCTTGCACTTGAAATTCGCTTTTTGAAATATCATACGAGGATTGTTATTATTTTAGTATTTGACAAATTGCAAACCAACAAATTTAATTGAATAATCTGATTAAATCCATTCAAATGGATGGAAATGGAATGTTGATTCACTTGTGACTAATAATTGGATGGATGATTGTTTAAAAAACTTTTATATATGCATATATATCAATGTTACATTTAATAAATTATTGTACATCATAACAATATTATTGTATCGCATCATTATTACTATTATATTATAATTGGTCAACAATTCTATCTACATTTTCGTTTCAAACGACATAATACTGTTAAATAAAAGGAAAAGAACTACTGTACACACATATATACATACATTCTTATATATATATATATATATATATATATATATATATATATATATATATATATATTTATATAAAATATCCTATCATACCTGGCCACTCTTTGCTGTGGCAAGGTTGTTATTATTTACGAACAAAGATCAACATGTTAAAGCTGGTATTAGAACACAAAACGTACCTTTACTCCTTAATTTAATCATATAGACATTTTTAATATTTTATATGAATAAATAATTATTAAATTAATTAATTATTGCAAGGAGGACATGAAACTTTCTGCGTTTGCTCCCTGACATAGTCTTGTACGTTGAATCGTGGATTTTCAGGATCAGTAGACTCGTTTTTTCTATATTTCAATTCCCTGGAAATGTAATAAAGTGAATAAATTATAAAATTATTATATTAGAATTTTATGAAGTACAATAATAATAATAATTATTATTATTGGTAATAATTTATGAAGTAAAATAATTTGGTTCATGCCACTTTTTAGAAAATTGTATTTGTTTTTGAGAAAACTTTTGTGCCTCTAAAAACTTTTGTACTAATAAGAAAAATATTTATAAAATCAACAAAATTATCAAAAAAAATGTTATTCAGAATTTATGAAAAAGCTTAAACTTTACTTGCAAAACCAATTTATTTTTATCCAGTGTAACATTTTTTTTTAATTTTGGGGTCAATATGCTTTATTTTATTTTCTTTAATAATCTCCAAATTCAGTTTAGATGGAATCGGCAGTGCTGGACAAGGTCAGGGATACACAGGATGTGGCCAGGACCACATCCCATTTAAACTTGTTTATCTATTATCTTTTATTTATGCTTGTTTATTTATTATTATCCATTTATACAGGACCACATCACATTTATACTTCTTTGTCTATGGCCAGGACTATGCTGGATGAGGACAAGGTAGTGCTGGACCAGAAAAGGAAGGCACTGGACCTACAGAGGGCAATACTGCACCAGGAGAGAAAGGCACTGGATCGTAGGAGTATGGCACTGGACAGGCACAGTATGACAATGGACCAGGAAAAGATTGCCTGAGGCATACAGAATACAAATCAAGCAGATGAGAGTGAAAGAAAGGAAGGCACTGGACCTAGAGAGAGCAATACTGGACCTAGAGAGAGAAATACTGAACCAGGAGAGAAAGGCACTGAATCGTAGGAGTATGTTACTGGACAGGGACAGTATGACAATGGACCAGGCAAGGATTGCCTGAGGCATACAGAATACAAATCAAGCAGATGAGAGTGAAAGAAAGGAAGGCACTGGACCTAGAGAGAGCAATACTGGACCTAGAGAGAGAAATACTGAACCAGGAGAGAAAGGCACTGGATCGTAGGAGTATAGAACTGAACAGGGACAGGATGACAATGGACCAGGAAAAGATTGCCCTGAGGCATACAGAAACCAAATCATGCAGATGAGAGCGAAAGGAAGGAAGGCACTGGACCTAGAGAGTGCAATATTGGACCAGGAGTGAAATATACTGGATCGAAGGAGTATATTGGACAGAGACAGTATGACAATGGACCAGGAAAGGATTCCATTGAGGCATACAGAATCCGAATCATGCAGATGAGAGCGAAAGGAATAAGGAAGGCACTGGATCTAGAGAGTGCAATACTGAACTAGAAGAAGAAGGCACTGGATCATAGGAGTATGGCACTGGCCAGAGACAGGATGTCAATGGACCAGGAAAGGATTGCGCTGAAGCATACAGAATCCAAATCATGCAGATGAGAGCGAAAGAAATGAAGGCACTGTATGAAGAGAGGGCAACACTAGACCAGGAGAGAAAGGCACGTAGGAATATGACATTGGACAGGGACAAGATGACAATGGACCAGGAAAGGATTCCGCTGAGGCATACAAAATCCAAATCATGCAGATGAGAGCGAAAGAAAGGTAGGCACTGGACCTAGAGAGGGCAATACTGGACCAGGAGAGAAATATACTGGATCGAAGGAGTATGTCACTGGACAGAGACAGTATGACAATGGACCAGGAAAGGATTCCATTGAGGCATACAGAATCCGAATCATGCAGATGAGAGCTAAAGGAATAAGGAAGGCACTGGATCTAGAGAGTGCAATACTGAACCAGAAGAAGAAGGCACTGGATCATAGGAGTATGGCACTGGACAGAGACAGGATAACAATGGACCAGGAAAGGATTGCGCTGAAGCATACAGAATCCAAATCATGCAGATGAGAGCGAAAGAAAGGAAGGCATTGGACCTAGAGAGCGCAGTGCTGGATCAGGAGAGAAAAAGCACTGAATCGTAGAAGTATGGCACTGGACAGAGACAGTATGACAATGGACCAGGAAAAGATTCAGCTGAGGCATACAGAATCCAAATCATGCAGATGAGAGCAAAAGAAAGGAAGGCACTGGACCTAGAGAGGGCAATACTGGACCAGGAGAGTAAGACACTGGATCGTAGGAGTATGGCACTGGTCAGGGACAGGATGACAATGGACCAGGAAAGGATTGCCATGAGACATACATAATCCAAAATCATGCAGATGAGAGCGAAATGGGACCAATCTCGTCAAAACTTCGAGAAATTGCTATACAAAATGGCAATAATTGGAAAAAAAATAAAAACCCAGAGACAAAATCCAGATGGAAGAGGACCCCAACAGACTGTAGAAAGATCCCAGCGGACTGGAGGAAGACCCAAATGCAGCAGATGACAAGAGAAGAAGACTCTTGTCATCTGCAAAAAAGTGGGCAAAGATCATACAGGATTGGGAGAAGAGGATTCTGGACTAGGAGAAGACCATACTGGACTGGAAGAAGAGGACAAATGATCAGAAGAAGAGGGCACTGGACGGAGAGAATTTATATATTATTTACCTAGCTATTGCCAAAAATGCCAACTCCACGTTGACTCCAGTTTTGGCAGAAGTCTCCATAAATGTAACATTGTATTCTCTGGCCAATCGTTCACCTTCTTCTTTCTTTACTTGTCTCTCAGGACCACAATCAGCCTTATTACCTAAAAATATAAGAAATTTAAAAAAAAATGTCTAAGAATGTATAATAATTGAGTATCAACAATAACAATATATTTTTTGGCATAAAACTCAAAGCTTTTTGAAAAAAAGGTGATGATAGGCGATTGAGGTTTGTATCTGAGATGTATTAGAAGTTTTAGTTTAAAAGTTATGAATAAAATCTATATGTTGTGAATTATTTTAGTCAGAAAAGTTTTTGGCAAATATCTCCAAAATTAGAAAATAAAGGAATAAAAAATTAAATGGTGATAAATAGTCGAGGATGTATAGGATAGTTATGGGTGTTTTTTTTTATTAATGTTTCTTACTTAATTTTTAATTTAGAAATATCTTTATTGTATAGTTTAAGTATTGCATAAGTATGTATAAACTTTTGCAAAATCTCCTAAATTCAGGTAGCACAGCAAATTAGTTTTGTGCCTGGACTAACGGAGCAAAAATAGTGGAAATGGGAATGATAGACAACTAAGGGCAAAGGATCATTTATTTGTAGTAGCTCTCACACCATGGACCTGCCTTCGAGCAGACTACTATTTATTATTATTGTATATATAGATATATACATATTTAACTATTACCTATTAACATGATAACAACGTCGTCCTGAGCATATTCCCGAATTTCCCCGAGCCAGGCCCGAATGTTGTCGAAGCTGGTCTTGTTCGTGACGTCATATAACAACAGCAAAGCTACAAACCAACAAATAAATATATTAATAAACATAATTTCTTATTTGACTAATTCATCCATTCATTAGAGTATCTATCAAATAAATCATTAATTAGGTTATGCATCAACTTATTTATTCCACCAGACCATGAGTCTCTAATTTATTTATGTATTCATTTGGTAGTTTAGTATCAATCAATTATTTATCTATTTATTTCCATTTCCATTATTTATAGTTATTCTAAAAGTTATCCATTCATCACCTCAATTACTAATTAATATACCGCAAAGTTCATGCTACTTTTCTTAAGGCAAAATGCCTCTCACATCTGTTTTTTTTTATATACTTATCAATTCTATTTATTTAGTTAACTATGTATCCATGTATTTATTTAGTTATCTATGTAACCATGTATTTATTTATCTATTTATCTAATTCTCACCGTGGGCGTCCCGGTAGTAGGCGTGGGTCACACTGCGAAACCTCTCCTGACCGGCAGTGTCCCAAATTTGCAGTTTGACTCTGGATTGGTCTACTAGAACTATTTTATTCTACAAATAAAGAACGAAATAAATAGAATTACATCAATATTTGCTGTCAAAGATACGACCAATTTTTGAGTCGCCTCCAATATTGGTTTGCCAAGATTAAACGTTATTTTATGTTAATTCTTGAAGAGGGTTATAAAGAGCATGTAGAATAAAAATAATGGTATATATCAATATCAAATTTATTTCTAAAACACTTAACCTAAAATCTTTAACTCAGAACATAACCTCAAATAAATAATATATAATTATATTATAATGAGTTACATTGATTCGGGCAATAACACCAAGTAAAAGATATTATATTGCAAAGATTAATACGGAAGAAGAATGCAAATGATTGACTACTTGACAAAAACTCAGAAAAAACAAAGGACAATGGATCAAGTGATGCTTTTAATACCTTCAAATAATAGATGTAGAATATAGATGATTGACGACTTCATGAAGAAAATGTAGATGATTGACGACTTCATGAAGAAAATTGGTGATAAAAAATGATGGAGATATGACCAAGTGATGCATTCAAATCATGGGACTGACTTCAAACTCTTATTCATAAATAGTGCAATAATGATAAAAAACCAAAAATACTGTGTAAATTGTGGTTTTCAAATAATGGACCTGCCATAAAAACTGTGATAAAAATTGGAGAAAAGACGATGAACCATGAAGAAAACTAGATGCTTCCAAATTACGGGTCTGCCTTCAGACACTCAAATAAAATGAATGTGTTATTAGTTACCCGAAAATCGATGCCAACTGTCGATATAAAATTCCCTGACAAAAACGTTCCGTCCCTGAAACGCACCAAAAGGCACGTTTTGCCAACTCCGGAGTCTCCAAGCAACATAACCTAATTTCACAAAATCCAATTTATAAAAAAAAAACATAAATAAATTTTTATTTTTATAAATCCAGAACCTTTGCTGATAAATCGTACAGATCCGGACAATTTTTTTGCTTCACGGGCACCCATTTATCGCTATCAACGCTTTCAACTTCCCCAAAAGATTTGACGCTCCTGATTTTGGAGATTCCATAATTGATCAACTTCCTGGATTCTGCCAGAGATTTTATCCTTCTCAAATTCTGGCGTATATCAAAACGACCGGTCTTGGTGGAAAAAGAAAACTCCTGCTGCTCCTCCTGAATGTCTCCTGGAACTAAAGGTAATTGATCAACTCATTGGTCATTCTCCTGGTTACTAAATGCCAACCTGGTCTAAACTTTGGACTGTCTGGTGTGTTTTGTGGCGTCACACAAGCAACAGGATGTCTGGTGGTCATGGAATCCAAGTCGCTAGGAGCTGATGAATTTTTTGTAAAAGCACCAAAATTACCAGATTTTTGGTTAGATATTGGGTTTATTGTGGCCCATGTGGGATATCTTTTCAATCCAACATTGCCAGGATGATTACTGTCATCATGTGCACTAGTTGTTGGCGGTGTTTTATCCAAACTTATTGAAGGAAACGTTCTGTTACCAGATAATGATAAATAACCAGTACTTGATACTGATGGACTAGTATCAGAAACCAATTCTGAATCTGTTTTATTCCTGGTTAAATACTGCTCATCCAACGAGTAGTTCTCACAGCCTGGTTTATCCAAATTTTTCTGGTTAATAGGATTTATTGTTGCCCACGTAGGATACATAGGTAAACTCCTGGAGCAAGTTGCAAATGAAGCTCGTCTCGTGTTCAAATCGGGTTTCGGAGTAGCTATTTTTGTAGACATTGTTGGTGTTGTGATTTTAGTCAACGTTGGTTTGATGTAAGCACTGTTTGTTACAGCTGGTACAAGTGGTGATTTGGTGGCATCTAAGTTTAAGGAACGTCCAAAATTTGTGTTGGAACACGTTGCAAACGAAGCACGACGTACGTGCATGTTTCTCTGTTCTGTGGATGGTCCAAAACTACGTTTTGGGGTTGAATCCAAGTCTTGGTCATTCATGGTTTTGGTTTGGACCCAGGAAGGTAGTAGTTTTGGAGCAGAAACATCAATATCTCCTTGCATTGTGCTTAAATTAACATCCTGGACGCGTGTTGACGTTTCCAAAACGCTACTTTTACCACACTTCTCCTGGATTTCGTCGTCTTGCGAGTTGAAAGTCGCACGTTTCAACTTGGCTATCAAGACTTCATCGGTGGAACTGTTAGAATCCTGTCTGCAAGTTGCAAAACTTGCTCTTTTGGCTTTAATACTGGCAAAACGTTGCTTGTCATCACTTTCTTCTGCTGGTGTCTTATTGAAACTGCTGGTTGTGCATTTTGCAAACAGAATACGTTTACACTCCTGCTCGCTGGGCTTCGTCAGAGTTGGTTCTGGTTCTTGTTGGTTTTGTTTTTTAGAGGCGCTGGGAAAATGTGCAATGGAACCTCTTCGGAAATTTTTGTTTCCCTGGAGCAGAAAAAGAAGAAATAAACATTTGATGTTTGGTTTTTGAGTTTAAATCAATTTAGAATTAGGAAATAGAAAAACGTACCTGGTTCATAGTTTGCAGTTGCGTTTTTGAAACTTTTTCTGGAAACTTTTAGTCACATTTTTTTACGTTTTGCACATTTTTTTAAAGACACATATTTTTGCTATTTTTTAAATATCAACTATGTCCGTTTATCATTAATGAAATTAAAGTGAACTGACACACTTCTATATATTCTTTTTAAGCTGAAAATGCAAACAATTTGATAATTTAAATATTGTTATCACTTATTTTAACTGATTTAGATTTTATGTTTTTATGTATGTGTTTAGTTTACTTAAGTGTCTTCAGCTGCCTCATTATTTATTACATAGCAACTGTAATGCTTGCAAATGTTTACTAAACCTTTTGTACGTTTTAAACCAATTGATTAATATTAATGGTGCATTTGGAAAATTTGTTGAAAATTAGATCATTTTGTAATTTATCTAGCAATATCTAACCCTACAACTACTGATCATGCTTAAAAATCATATTTATAAATATACCAAAACGCTCAGATAATAATAAATAAATGCACGCCGGTTCCTGTACTTTGATTAATATTGTTTCTATCACGCATAATACGCAAAATACGTCTAAGCGGGGTTTTTCTTTATACTTTTAATTATATATATATATATATATATATATATATATATATATATATATAATTTATCCTATCGACCAAATTTCATTTAGTTCGTGGTCGGAAAAGTTCTACTAAACAGTAATTGGATTAGAAAGTACCTTTCTATTTAGAAAGGTTCTGATAAAGTGACCAAAGGGATTCTATTTGCACATAAAACATAAACTAGGTCACATTAACCGGAATAAATGAGGGAGAACGTATAATTAGAATTTTTATAGAAAATTTGCTGATTATCCAATATTTGTTTAGGAGAACTGTAATGATGGGAAAATAAATAGACAGAGAAGATTTTGAAGATTAAGGGATTTTATATATATATATATATATATATATATATATATATATATATATATATATACGTGTGTGTATATATATATACTAGCTGACCCGGCAAACGTTTTGCCTTAAAAAATACCTCTAGTTTAAAATGTTTAGTACGTCTAGTTGGTATTGGTATTTTGCCTTGAGGCAAGTTATATAAACTTTCCGATGTGTGTAAATAATCGACTTAATCAATAAAAAATAAATTAATTTATGAGTGATTAAAGGTATTCCGAGTGGATTTATTACATAATTGAAAACGAACGAACACGTTAACTCGGAGTATTTTCTAAAAGCAAATTTTCACAAACCAAAATTTTTTATAATTGATCCAGTTTCGATAGGACTTTAATGGTTTAGTATGTTCTTTAAAACCAAGTACTCTATCGTTATACCAAGTAAATCGTCTAATTTTAATTTTAACAAAGGTCAAAGAAACTACTCATTCTCTCAAACTTTGATGAATTTTTAAGATTTACTTGTCGTGAGGTCGTAATATTACAGTAAGGTCTATAAGACCATGATATATATCGCCAAAAAAAGTTCCATAAAAATCGGCTTAAATTTTTTTTTCAACAGTTAATTCTAAGAAAACGGCTTGGTAGATTTTTACCTAAAACTAATCAGTATCATTCCCAACGAATGATATATATCCCATAATATCTTTCGAACAGTTTTTGATTTTTTAAAATCGATTCGGTAGTATGGGCTTAAATGTGGACGAAAAGCTTATCACTTTTTTTCAAATTACAAAGAACACGCTCGGCACACACACACATACTTTTTCCAAATTTGATCTCATTCCATTCAGAATGGCTTGAAACGTAAAGTAAATAAAATTAATGATCTTTAATAAGGTCAGTTAAAAAACACTACCTGACTAAAATCGTGGTAAAAAATTTTTGAAAATTTTACGAAAATTTAGTGTTGCGTGGATTTTTTAATTTCGCACTATGAAAATTAAAATTAAAAGAAAATTGGTACCATAATTTGTAAAAAGGTGAGGGGTGAACAACCTTTGGTAAAAATAAATAGGTTTATAGAAAATTATAGTAAAGAAAAATGGTTCCAAAATTTAAAATAAATGTCAGGGGCAGACAACCCTTGATGTATATATATATATATATATATATATATATATATGATGTTTTAGATTAATATCAAGCAAACGTTATTGCTTGAAATTAATTCCTGTGTACGTTGAGGTTTCCTTCAAATATGTATATTTATATATATATATATATATATATATATATAAATATATAAATGTAAATATATATAATATATATGTGTGTATGTATATATATATATATATATATATAATGTGGAACAATATTATTGGGGTAACTATATTAGGGGTTGTTTACGTTTGAATGCCTTTGCAAAATCAGGTTCGAAGAGGGTTTATAATCTTCATAGATAAACATTAATATATATATATATATATATATATATATATATATATATATGTATATATTAACCCCCCGAGGCAACCCTGATAGCTCCTCACATCGTTTTACCTATTTGTTATTTTTTAAACAATGTACGCTTTTCGAACGCAATTTTCATTAAAGAATTTTAATTATACAAAAATATGTTGTAAGACTAAAATATACATAATTTTACATGCTTTAATTTATCCAAAGATTATATTAAGTTAAAATAAATAGTTTTTAAGTCATGAATTAAAATATAAAAAAAGAGTGCGCGTAAGGTTCACACTCGATTGAAGTAAAACTTATTTGCTACTGTACAAGAGGGCATTTAAATAAAAATAAATACATCATATAACAATTTTGAATAATGTTTATTAGCAATATGGTATCACTCGTTATGCACAAAATGGGGCAGGTGTAAATCCGTACAAATGCAACGGAAGTCCGTTACGCCCGAACTGTTCGTGAGAGCAAATGGTTCTCGATGAGATTATCAATGTTGTATGCATACCGATATCAACAAGGAAATCAGCATAAAAAAATACACATTTTAAAGTTACATCGTAGTACAAATCTTCAATTAATGAAAAATGCCTGAATCAGAAGAATATTTTACCCTGTTCCTTGAAAATAATAAAACAAATTAAACATTTGTACTAAACGTAAGTTTATCGATTAGAAATTATTTCTATATTATTCGTAGTTTCTATAAATCTTTGAAGTTATTGAAATGGAAAATATTTTTTAGGCAAAACAGATATTACAGCTGTTCAAAGAATGAGATCATATCGCCAGCGAAAAAGTAAAAAAAAATACAAGAAGTCAATAAATGCATGTTAATTTTAATTACATGAAGTTTTTCGAACATAATTAATACATGATGAGTGAAGTTGCGAAAACAATATTTATTAAGCCGTTTGTTTAACATAATCCACTGTAAGAACGAATATTAATCAGCAATTAGTTCATTTCTTTAATGAAGGT